CTTCGCTAAACCCCGAGAGCGCCTGCTGATACCTCCAGTGAGCCCTAGACCCCCAGACCTTAAGTCTAAAGCCCCCCAGACCTTGAACCCGAAGCCCGCTAAAGCCCAGAACCCTAGACCCTAGAACATAGGCTTTCGGCTACAGGGTGCAGGGTTTCAAGCCGTTAGGGCAAGTGGAGAAGCCCTTTCATTCCCCAAAACCTGACACTTTTGCCGTGAAGCTTCAACCCCCACCCTAAACCCTAAACCCTAAACCCTAGACCCTAAACCCTCTACCCTCTAAACCCTAAACCCTAAACCCCAAACCCTAAACCCACAAGACCATCCTTGTCCTCTCAGCTGCACTCTGCAACCCTAGAAGCCCTGTAACACCCTAAAGGTTCATGTACCCATATGAAGCAGGGTTTATATATTATTGTAATTGGTGAGTGTATATAAGGTTCCTTTTTAGTTTTGGTGAGTGTATATACCTGGTGTCCTTTTGGGAGTACAAGAAATATATATACCTTCATATAGTGTGTACTTGGGGTTTTAGGATTCATTGCTTTAGGGCCCAATGATGTACTATATCTGCAACCCTAGAAGCCCTATAACACCCGAAAGGTCCATGTACCCATAGAATGTATACTTGGGGGTTTAGGATTCATCGCTTTAGGGCCCAATTATGTACTATATAGGTACATGGATTTTTAGGGACACCGTAGACCCTGGACCCTGTAAGCGCATGTCAGACGTGGCCCGCTCCCGGCTGGCCTGCCGTGCCCTTCTGCGTGCCTGTGCGGAGAGGTCCCCTGGAATGTGAGCTGGGTTTAGGGTTTAATTAGGGTTTAGGGTTTAGGGTTTAGGGTTTAGGGTTTAGGGTTTAGGGTTTGGGGTTTAGGGTTTGGGGTTTAGGGTGTGGGGTTTAGGGTTTAGGGTTGCAGAGTTCAGGATGGCTGGGTGTGGGGCTTCGTGTTTGGGATGCCCAGTTAACCAGGATGGGCTATTATACCCCAAAAATCCCTGAAAAGGCCCTTTATAGGGTTCATTATGGGTATTTTAAGGCCTAATAGCCCATCCTGGAAGGCAAGGGGGTACGAGTGTTGGTGGTTCTCCTTCGTCCTAGTCCTCTTGCATCTCAAAGATCCAGCACCCTGGACACCCTGGACACCTCTAAACCCTAAACCCCAAACCCCAAACCCCAAACCCTAAACCCTAAACCCCAAACCCTAAACCCTAAACCCTAAACCCTAAACCCTAAACCCTAAAACTTCAACCCATCCGCAGGAGCTTGCCGGGAAGGGTAGGCCCAAACCTTCCACCCTAAAGGCCCCAAGACGTGCATGTGACTTTGGGGAACTAGATGGCTTAAGTACCCAAAGAACCCAATACCCCTTAATTAGGGAATATGCATTAAATCATACTACGTAAGGATCCCTTTCTAATTTCAGGTATATTCCTAGGGTTTAGGGTTTAGGGTTTAGGGTTTAGGGTTTAGGGTTTAGGGTTTAGGAATGTAGGGCCTGCCGGGCTCACGGCAGGGTTCAAGGCAGCTTCGATGAGGTTCGTCATGTTTGTGGGTGAGACAAATGGGCTCAGGGTTTAGGATTTAGGGTATAGAGGCCTGTAACCCTGGCCGTCAGAGTTGTGTCGGGCAGCGTGCATGAACAAATCCTGGGTGCTGGATACCTCCTGGCGTTAGCCTGGCATGCTGCCGGGTGTAGCATCTGACCCTTAAACGCTTAAACCCTGAACCATGAACTACTAAGTTGCTTAAGAACCCCAAACAAATGCAAATTCAGAATCCTGAAGCAATAAGTAGTGAATCATCCTGTGCATCAGATGGGTGAAAATCAAGCGACGGCCGCAATCTTTGGAGGCCGCTGTACGCGGCTGCTGCCTTGCCCGCGTTCCGTGGCGTGCTGTCTGAGGCAAGACAAGAAGGGAGGCTTCATGTCCTTCGGGTTGAGGAATTGGGGTTTACGTCTAAGTCTAAGTTTAGTTTAGTGTTTCTACGGAGGCTTCATGTTCTTGGGGTTGAGGAAGTGGGGTTTATATAAGTCCAAGCTTAGGTTAGTGTTTCAGGGTTTCAAGGCTCCCGGAAGGGTTGGACAGGTTTGCTCAAGCTGCCCAGTATTTGGACGTGCTTGAATTCCCTAGAGCTTCAATGCTAAACGGCCCTCTAAGGTTCAGGCTCAAGGCTAGGCCGGCGTTTGAAGCGCCCACTTTCAAGGCAATATGGGGTTTCCCCAAGCCTCCCCCAAAGATTGGCACTTTGGCCCCGGGACCCTGATGGGGTTCGGTTATCCTAGTGAGCAACCCTACTTCGTACCTACTTACTAATTCCCTCTGTCCTCCTATTGGGAAAGGTGGGCTACCCCTTTCGTGGGGAGGTTTTGGACCTTGCGATAAAACCTCTAAGCCTACCAAATCCTAGAACGTAGGGCAAACCCCGAACACCAAACCGCAAACCCCAAACCCCAAACCCTAAACCCTAAACCCTAAACCCTAAACCCTAAAACCCTAAAACCCTAAACCCTAAACCCTAAACCCCAAATCTGAAAAACATTTGGGCTAGGCCAGAGCCCCTCCTGCCAGGCAGAGCTGCGCCAGTTGGCAGAAGGCCCGGGCCAGTTGAGGGCTTTCAGCTCCAGCCTACCTCAAAGCTCTGGCTTTAAACCCTAAACCCTAAACCCCAAACCCTAAACCCTAAACCCCAAACCCTAAACCCTAAACCCTAAACCCCAAACCCTAAACCCTGAACCCTAAAACCTAGGACCCCTGAAGCATCACCAGAATCCAAACCGTATGGTAGATGGTATACCGGAAGAGCGATCCGGTACTTGGGGGTTCTCTTGTGATGGCCATGACTGCCCACGACCTGCCCAGGCATGACTGAGGACGACTTAGGGTTTGGGGTTTGGGGTTTAGGGTTTAGGGTTTAGGGTTTAGGGTTCAGGGTAGGCGGCCGCATTGGCGCCCTGGAGCCGGGCTAGAAGGGGCCCTCCCTTCGTTGCTCTGGGCTCACTTGTGTCCGGGCGCAGAAATCGCAGGTGCAGCTCTGCACCTGCCTGCCGATAGACTTGAAACGAAGGGCACAGCCCTTCCTTGGGGTTTAGGGTTTAGGGTTTGGGGTTTAGGGTTTAGGGTTTAGGGTTTAGGGTTTAGGGTTTAGGGAGACTTTTCTGCTGGCTCTGCTGCACCGACGAAGCAGCCGAGGCTTCCCAACTCACCAGGGCCATGGCTCCTGATCGAGTTCGTGGAATCTTCCCATACAGAGGTTTAGGGTTTAGGGTTTAGGGTTTCGGGTTTAGGGTTTAGGGTTTAGGGTTTAGGGTTTAGGGTGTGCTTGGAAGTTCATGGTACTGATCAGCCCAATGATGGAGGTACTTTGAGAACCCAATTCTAGCCATGTAAGGGCACTTCAGGGGCTTATAATTTTGGAGCTTAAGTGCAGTTATGGCTGGGTCGTGGGTACCATGAACCTCCAAGTGAGGCTTCCCAAAGAGTTTCAAAAGCTTGCAACGGCCTCCCAGGGCTCCGAGCGTGGCTGTTGTCTGGGCTGAGCGAGTGAAAGATAGGTCGGTTGTAGATGGCTGCGTTGCGAGCCGAGTGACGAAACCGGTTAGTGCAAGCAGCTTAAGCAAACAAATCGATACATGATTTAGATGTAAAGCCCTAAACCCTAAACCCTAAACCCTAAACCCTAAACCCTAAACCCTAAACCCTAAACCCTAAACCCAAAACCCAAAACCCTAAACCCTAAACCCTAAACCCTATGTAAAAAGGCCTCGCGAGACATCGTCTCAGGCCATTTGCTGAGGGCTGAGGGCTTAGGGTTTGCTCCTGGAAGCCTCCGGAGCCCTTGCAAGCCCCTTGCAAGCCCTAAACCCTAAGCCCTAAACCCCAACCCTAAACCCTGAACCGTTGTAGGCGCTTGGAGGCCACCCCACAATTCTTTAAAAAAGTTGGGTTTAGGGTTCAGGGCGCCGTTGGGGTTTCCCTTCAGAACCCTTTAACATGAAGGACTGGAGCGTCAGATCCACTGTGGACCAGCGGAACCTCCCAGCGCCCTGCTTGGGTGGTTTGGGGGTTTCAGGGTTTATATAGGGTTTAGGGTTTAGGGTTTAGGGTTTACGGCTTAGGGGGCTGAAGCGGTTTGAGGTTTAAGTTTATGAAGCGCTTCGTGGCGTTGAGGGGCATCAGGGTTTCTGGGGCTTAGGGCTTCTGTGGTTGAAGCGTTAAGTCTTCTTGGGTTCAACCCAACGAGCCCAACACCCCTGTTTTAAGGAATAGACCTTAAGTATGATTTCAGCTATATGGCTCAATTAAGGCGCAGTTTGAGGCTTTTAGGAGCCCTCAGCCCACCCCCCTAATCCGGAATAGGGTTGCAAAGGCTGGGTCGGTTTCGGCAGGATTTTCCGGAAAGTGTTTTATAATCAGGGGCAGGTTGAATACAAAGGGGAAGGGGTTTGTGGTTGAGGTTTCAGGGCAGAGGGTCTTCGCGCCCTAAGCAGCCCTAAACAGTAAACCCAGTTTCTGGCCGACGATTGGGCCGACGATACACTTTAATGGCAGTTGTATGGTCCCTTAAATGGTCACTTACCTCCTTTACAGGGTTCTGAAATATGGGCCCTTGTGCTTGATAGGGCATACAGGGGGTATATAAGGGTCCCCTTGCAGGGCCCATACTAGGGAAGCATATAACTACCCCACGATACATCAGACTGGGTTCGTTTCCTATGTACTCCTTTAAGGTTATAAAGGAGCTACATTCCGAGTAAGTTTGGGGTAGGTGCCCGAGCTCCTGGAACATGTGGCATCATGAGGCCCTAAAACCTAAACCCTAAACCCTAAACCCTAAACCCTAAACCCTAAACCCTAAACCCTAAACCCTAAACTCTCAACCCTAAAACCCTAAAAAGGTGCCATCTCACAGTGTGCAGCACCCGGCTTACTCGTTCTTTTAGGGAATGGTCCAGAGAGCCCTAGACCCCTGAATTCAGTGTTCAGGAGTATGCGCCCCCGAAACCCTAAACCTCAAACCCTAGACCCTACACCTTAAATCATGTTAAGGACCTCTAGCAAGGGCAGTTTTTGAAATTCGGATCCTTTTTGGTCCTGCATGTCGTACGGCACCCTTGACAGAAGGACCCCTAGAGTGACCTTATTCAGAGAAGGGTCTAGGGTTTAGGGTTCAGGGTTCAGGGTTCAGGGTTTAGGGTTTAGGGTTTAGGGTTCAGGGTTTCGGGTTTAGGGTTTAGGACTACCCAAATGATGTCAGGTATGATACGGGAAACCCAAACGCTAAAACTGTAAACTCTAAACCCTAAAGCCCTAAAAAACATCCTAGACCCTAAATCCTGTAAAGCCTAAACCCTATGCGTTTAGGGTCTCTTGACCCAAGACCCTAAACCCTAAACCCTGTGCACCCCAGCCGCCCAAAAAAACATAGTGATACATGAAATGCAAAACCATCCGAGGTGCAAACTTTTCGCTGTCCGTCTCCTGGCGCAGCCTCCCATCCGTCACACCTCAGGCGATGCATCTGCTTCGCAGGGTTGGGTACAAGACCCGTAGCCCGAAACCCTAAACCCTAAACCCTAAACCCTGAAACCCCGGAACCCCAAAACCCTGAAACCCTGAACCTCGCCCCAGCACAGCCTAAACCCTCAACCTGACCCTGAACCTTAACCCCCCACACCCTGAGCCCCACGGCTTCCGACTGAGGCTGACAATTTGAGGATTGCTTATTTACCTACAGCTTCACAGTTCCCTTTTTCAAATCAACCAAGTGGTTTAGGGTTTGTGTTCCTTAGGTTGTTGGGGAATGTGGGCGGCTCTGAACTCAACAGCCCCTGCCACAAAACCCTCAAGGGCGGTAGCTGTACGTCGGTTCTAGATGGCGCAGAAAACTTCTACCTGCTATCACTAAGGCTACGCTGCTTATACTCCAAGTTCTGGACCCTGAAAAGCACAGGGGCCGATACTTCAGAAGCCCCCTTTTTGAAAAAGATAAGGGGCCCAAAGGCACCATACCCCAACAAGCCCAATACCCCTTAGTTACAAAATAGGGTTTAGGATGTAGGGGGTTTAGGATCATATTCAAAAGCTTCCACGGATCGTTGATCTTGTTTTAAGTTACATTCTCCAAACCTCATGCACGAAGCTGCATGTTAGCACCATGGTTCAGGGTCTATCGAGCGCAGGCTTCATAACACAACCTAAAACCCTAAACCCTAAACCCTAAACCCTGAACCCTGAACCCTGAACCCTAAACCCTAAACCCTAAACAGGCCCTAAACCCTACACAGCAGAAAACCCACACCTTGAAACGCCAGACTACAAGAGTTTAGGCTTTAGCCTTTAGGGTTTAGGGTAAGTTAGTAAGTAGGGTTAGTAAGGTGGGGGGTTTCTAGGGGATGGTAAGTAGACTTCTTAAGTCAAAGGAGCTTCCAAGTACACGCCTACTTCAGAGTGTGGTGCGGAACAACACTCACCTGGACCTACGCATGAGGGCGGTGCCAACGCTGCTATGCAAACCTGACCACGGCATGTGAGGCAGTAGGGTAAGGGAATATTTTTCATCGTAGAAGCCTAAATCCCAAAACCCGTACACCCCTAAGCCCTTAAACTCGAAGCCCGAACCCCCTAAACCTCTTGACCCCCGCCCTTGATACCCCTTCACCCCGTAACCCTTAACCCCCAAACCTCCCCAAACCCCTTAACCCCTTAAACTCCCTAACCACCCCAAACCTCAAACCCTAAACATCCCTAAACACTAGACCCTAAACCCTAAACCCTAAACCCTAAACCCTAAACCCTAAACCCTAAACCCTAAACCCTAAACCCTAAACCCTAAACCCTAAACCCTAAACCCCAAGCCCAAACCCGCGCCAGGAGCTGGAGGGCCTGGTCCCCAACTTCCGCCGCCACGGAGCGGCTGCGCGGCCGAAGAAGCTTTTTGTTTTAGGATGGCCTTCTGGGTAAGGGGTTGGGGTTTGGGGTTTAGGGTTTCGGGTTTAGGGTTTAGGGTTCAGGGTTGAGGGTTGAGGGTTGAGGAGTTAAGTTAAGGGCTTTGGAGATGTTAGAATTGTTTTCGGGGGGTTCGGGTTTCAGGGTGTGGGGTTTTGATATCTAGGGTTGTTCGACCCTAAGCCCCAAACCCTAACCCTAAACCCTGCATCCTACATCCTAAACCCTAAACCCTGCACCGTGGGGTGTTTAGCTTGAGGTGTTTAGGGTTTAGGGTTTAGGGTTGAGGGTCTAGGGGGGAAGGGTGCTTGCTTGTGAGATTGCTGAAGCCTTCGTTCGTCTGGCTAATTGCTGTGCACTTGCACTGCTGCTTGTCACGTACATGATATGCCTGAACCTGAGGTCAGCACACAGAAACACACATAGGCCTGAGTCTATGCAATTCTAGCCGCTATGGCCGACTACATACCCCTGACGCAATTTGCCTTAGCCGTCGCTTACAGGGAGTAAAGACACACCAGTGTACTTTAAGGATGAGCGCCGGGACACGGGCCCGCCCCATGGAGCTTCAGTTCGTCGCTGCACTGACGGGGGAGAGCTTGGGCGCGATTTGCATCAGCCTGCCGTGGAAGTCAGACATCGCCGTGTTGTCGGAGCAGCTGGGTCAGTCAATGCACGGTTACATCGTCATGTTAGACGCCATCTCTGAGTCACCCGGGGGGCCTTCGTGTGGTCATCTGACAGAAGGGCAGGCTGGCTGGCGCCGACTTTCGGAATGGACATTGGCACTCGACAGTGGTCTTTGCAAACCCTTCCTGAGTGTGCCACTCGTCCGCCCCACGCAAATGCGTCTGAAGGATCGTTGCCGCCAAGAGAATTGGCCTTTATACAATAAAGGCCTTCGCCGCTGGAATAAGGAATTCCGGGAGGCCGCGTGGGAGATGCCGCTTGTGGCTCTGCGACTTCCACACTACAAGTCGCATCGCGGCTTTCACACCTATGGTGGCGCTGACGTCAGAGATCTGGTGCCCATAGTGATGCAGTCTGTCGCTGCAGATGCGCGCCTGCGCCGGTTCGCAGGCGCTGGGCGGCACAGAACGTGGCAAGGGTGCCGACATGCTCTGGTACGACTGACGCAGCTCCCTTTGCAACAGGTGTCCATGTTCGTCACTGAGTGGCTGCAGGTGCACAGTGAGCAGATGGCTGAGTTAGTCGCAGTAGTCAGCAAGCAGATTGTGTATATTGAATAGGGGGGGAGGACGTCAGCCCGAGAGCCTCTTACCGGGCCCTGTCGCGCAACCTACTTGAAGGTTAAGGGTACTTACAACCCCAATTATGTCTGAATTTTTAAGCCCCCGAAGTCCCCTAAGTCGTCTAAGTAGGTTATAAGGTAGACTTATAATTGGGGTTATAAGTACCCATGAGCCTCCAAGTAACAGCTGTGAGGCTCAGGCACGTTGACTTGCGCCAGCATGTCACCAGCCTCTGAAAAGCCAACAGCCAGTCCACTTGCCTCCTGTCCGATTCTTCCGCAGCAAAAGACATTGTCGCTGTGTGCCTGCAGCGGTCGTGATTTGGGGGGGGGGCTCAAGGATGGAAGGATGGCTGGGTTTGGGCCTTTGCGTTCAACTGGTTCAGCTCAGAATGCCTACGCCAGTCTCCTAAACCGCTAAGCCCTTTCCAGCACCTTTGAAACTACCAATTCCCAGCACACCCTAACCCCTAAACCCTAAGCCCTAAATCCTAAACCCCAAACCCCAAGCCCTAAACACTAAACCCTAAACCCTAAGCCCTAAACCCTCACCCCTAAACCTTAAGCCATAACCCCTGAGCCCTAAAAGTGCCTCCGACGTCCCCTAGGATGCCCGGAGGTCTGTAGAAGCCTTTCACGAAACGCCACGCCTACACCCTGATGACTGCCCTAAGCCCCAAGGGCTGAGGGCTTAGGGTTTAGGGTTTTATGGTTACCCAACAAAACTGTCAAAGCGTATTGGGCCCTTGGAACAATCCCCGAAGCCCCCGAAGCAAGCCCCTGAAGCACTAGAAGCCCAAGAAGCCCTAGAAGCCCAAGAAGCCCAGAAGCCCTAGAAGCCCTAAACCCTAAACCCTGAACCCTAAAGCTCAAGGACCTTTCGCCCATCAGGGACGCGGCTGCTGCGCTCGGCGCCCGGGTGGGGTTGCTGGGCTCGGCCGCCGAAGGTCTCGGAACTGAGGCCGGGGGGAAGAGAAGCCAAGGTGTGAAAAGAGCTAGAGCCGGGTTTAGGGTTTAGGGTGTTTTCGGTTGTGGGGGGTTTAGGGTTTCGGGTTGAGGGTTTGGGGTTTGGGGTTTAGTGTTTAGGGTTTAGGGTTTAGAGTGTTTTGGGCTTTTGAAGTTTGTGGTTCCCCCGACCAGGTACAGTGGGATTGAGCGTCGAGGGTAGAGGGATTGGTTTTTCTGTAACGTAGAGTCGCAGTGCTATTGGATGCTGCCGTGGGAGCGGCCTGCTTTCCAAGGAGACCCCAAACCCTGAACCCCTACACCCCTAGACCCCTAAACCCCGACCAGGTACAGTGGGGTTGAGCATTGAGGGTAGAGGGATTAGTTTTTCTGTAACGTAGAGTCGCAGTACTATCGGCCAGGTTTGTAGGATTTTGTTGAAGTTGGAGATGGCATTCTGGGGAAGCTGTGTCTATTTTGGGGGGGACGGCGGCTTGGCCGTAGGCTCTGTGTCCTTAAGCTTTCAGCAAGCCCTATAAGCCTTAAGCCCGAAACCTCAACGCCCTCAACCCTAAAACCCTAAACCTTGGAGGTCACGCGTTGAGGGGTTTCACGGTCAGGGTGCTAACAACATTGGTGTAGGGTGTCGGCAGGTCTCCTGGGGCGTAGTAGCAGCTTGAGGTGTCAGCGGGGATTTGGGGGGTTTAGGGGGTAGTGTTCGGGGGTGCTTGCTTGTGAGGTTGCAGAAGCTTCGTCCGTCTGGCTAGTTGCTGCCTTTCACGCGCATGATATTATGCCTGAACCTGAGTTCAGCACGCATAAACACGCATAGGCCTGAACCTGAGCATTTCTAGCCGTTATCGCCGACAATATACCCCTGACGCAACTTCCCTAAGCCGTCGTGTGCGCGAGTGAAGACACATCAGTGTACTTGAAGCATGAGCGCCGGGGCGCCGGCCAGCCCCATGGTTCGTCGCAGCACTAACGGGGGAGAGCTTGGGCGCGATTTGCATCAGCCTGCCGTGGAAGTCAGACATCGCCGTGTTGTCGGAGCAGCTGGGTCAGTCAATGCACGATCTCTGAGTCACCCGGGGGGCCTTCGTGTGGTCATCTGACAGAAGGGCAGGCTGGCTGGCGCCGACTTTCGGAATGGACATTGGTACTCGATAGCGGTCTTCGCCCCGTGCAGATGCGTTTCAAGGATCGTTGCCGCCAAGAGAACTGGCCTTTACGCAATAAAGGCCTTCGCCGCTGGAGTAACTAGTAAAGTAACTCCCGAATTCCGGGAAGCTGCTTGGGAGATGCCGCTCGTGGCTCTGCAACTTTCTTGGGGCTTTCACAAGTATGGCGGCGACGACGCCCGAGATCTGGCGCCCATAGTGATGCCAGCTGTCGCTGCAGAGGTGCGGCTACGCCGGTTCGCAGGCGCTGGGCGGCGCAGAACTGCAAGGGTGCCTACATGCCCTGGTACGATGGACACAACCCCCCTTGGAACAGGTGGCGATGTTCGTCACCTGAACCCCCCTTGGAACAGGTGGCGATGTTCGTCACCGAGTGGCAGAAGGTGCACGTGAGCAGATGGCTGAGTAAGTCGCAGATAGTCGCAGTAGTCAGCAGACAGACTGTGTACTTGAATATAGGGGGAGAGGACGTTAGCCCGGGAGCCTGTTGCCGGGCCCTGTCCAACCTAAGGGCAGCTGTGAGACTCAGGCACGTTGACTTGCAGCATGTCACCAGTCTCTGAACAGCCAACAGCCAGTCCGCTTGACTCTTGTCCTTTCGCAGCAAAAGACATGTGTGCTTGTCACTGCGTGCCTGCAATGGTCGTGCTTTGGTATGTGAGGGTGAGAAGTCAGAGCGGCTTGCCCGCTATGCAATCCACCCCTCGGCTGCATGCAGGAGAGTGACGTGGATGTGACCCTCCTCGCAGAGGTGCTTGCTGGCACGTTCGAGGAAGCGCGAGCTACTTGCCTGTCATGCGGGGCGAGACGAGGGAGGGCAGAGGGAGAGGGTGTGAAGGACGAGGAAGGGAGGAGCGCACAGGGAGAGAGTGAGAGTGAGGAGAGTGTGAGTGGGAGGTCTTCTTAAGCATGCTGGCTCAGCGGGGAGCGAAGGAACGAGCGATGACAGCTATGAGAAAACAAGCAGCGTTGTCGCCTTGAAAATGCAAAGTCAGGTTAGAAGTTGCCGCTCAGTTATTCTAGGAAGCATTCACTATTCCATGGATGTGGCGTTGGGTTGGCTCCTCGTAAGGATTACGGGGTAGATCAGGAGAAAGTGACCTGCGTAGCAGTTAGCCTGCGCTTCTGCAAAACTAACATATGGATTTTGTTCCACCCACGTGTTCTGTTGTTCGACCTGTGAATTTTCTTTTCGGAGAAAATGAGCAGCGCGACCCCCCAACTTCTAGTCAGGCTTTGATTCCCTGCAGAGGGTCGTGAGGCATATCTCTAAGTAGGTGATCAGGTTTCGGAGCCATCCATGGCCGTGGTCCGAATCAAACCTAAAGAGCGTCGTCACAGATCTTGCGTAATAAATTGAGCAAACAAAAGCCAGCCAGGCTTCGAAGATCCGCGGTTCACGTTTCGTTGTCGGATGTGTGAGGCCTATCCAGGTCTTTCCAGGTTCAGCGTCCGCGTGGGCGTTCAACGTCTGCGTGGGAGACCATCCAGGAGCTTCGAAGGTCAGCGCTCAATGCCCGTGGCGTGGGGACTATAGCTCCTTTTCTTGTCGACGCGCAGCAATAGGGTTCTTCGTGCAATATCTTGATACCAGCTCAGGACTTCCAGCGCCGACAGCTCCGCAAGCTACGTGGATTGCTGGTGCAGGCTTTTCGGCCGCTAACATGTTTTGAGGAAGTGATGCAGCGCGGCATGGAAAGTGCGCGTTGTTTCTTTGCTGAAGCTTGCAACCGGACAGCTGCGTCTTGGCTAGGTTCCTGGCATCCAGATTCTCGATTTGGTACTGGAAGCTAAACGACCGCTCCTCAAGCTGACGTTGCCTTGCGGTCCCTCGGCTTTGTATTTAGTAGTTTTTTCCAGTTGCCTTTTTCCTTTGAAAGTGTTCAGAAGCAGTCCTGCACCACAAGTACATCTGCGCAGGCACACGGGCAGATGTCTCCGCGCAAAATCGCGAAGGCTGCCGGAAGTCGGCGTTCATTGCGCGCCACCTCCAGCTGGGACATCCCATGCTTGCGAAGTGTTGTCTGTACTTGAAGACATGGGCGCAAAGGCCTGGGAGTTTTTATTTTGTTCTTTCAGTCTTCTGCTGTTTGCAAGCTTTGGGTTGTCACATGTTTCCAATCGTCAAACTTTATTACACCCACGCTTCAGAAACCGTAGACGAGTGACCGTGCCAAGTATTTTGCGGTACCGACACTGCTTCAACTAGCTCCTTAAGGCTTAGGTTTAGGCATGTAAACCCAAACTAAACCCTAAACCCTAAACCCTCAACCCTCAACCCTAAACCCTAAAAACCCGAAACCCTGAGCCCTTTAGGATCCTTGAGGACTTCGGGATGTTCGCCCTTATACTCACAGCCTTTTTCGGGATTGTAGTAGAGGGTACCATAAATCTCGATTAAGGATTGTCCGTATAAGGGGGAACATCCTAAGCTTGGGGCTAAAGGGGGAACATCCTAAGCTTGGGGCTTGGAGGCGCGGCCTTTACGGGCAGCAGCATGGCTTTCCGTCTGGCTTGGGCTTCGCGTGCATGGCGATCTTTGCAGCGCAGTGCTTGGAGCCACCGGCAGCGGGCCTTGTTCTAGAGGCGCCTATCTACTAATTATACCCTTCGACCCCAACGCCGAATCTGACATTGGGCCCGTAATATATCCTTAGACCTTTCAACCTGCAAAACCTACATAGCACACTGCCTGAAGCTTAACCCGAAACCTTAAACCCTAAGCCCTAAAACCTTAAGTTTGTCCTGGAAACCCCGAAGCCTCCTACCCGAAACGGGTCGTGAAAGCCCAAACCGTCAGCATCCGTCAGCCCCGGCAGCGTAAACCCAAACACAAGGAGCCCGATACCACTTAACTAGGGACATACAGTAATGTGTTTAGGGTTTAGGGTTTAGGGTTTAGGGTTTAGGGTTTAGGGTTTAGAGTTTAGGGTGTAGGGTTTAGGGTTTAGGGTTTAGGGTTTAGGGTTTAGGGATCCATAGTATGATTTGGGAACCTTGAGGCGGTTGATCTTACCCTAACCCGAAACCCTAAACAGGTCCCAAAAAAACTGAAACCCAGTATATAACCCTAAACCCTAAACCCTAAACCCTAAACCCTAAACCCTAAACCCTAAACCCTAAACCCTAAACCCTAAACCCTAAACCCTAAACCCTAAACCCTAAACCCCTCCTACTTATCCTCAACATTCCTCAACTTATGCTTCCATGATGCTCCCAAGAGGTCCTTCTAAACAACCTTAAAACTTCTAGAAGCCCATACTCAGAAACCCTAAACTCTCAATTCTCAGCTCCAAACTGCTAGCTTCAATCTCTAAACTTTCAAGTCTACCCTAAATCCCAAACCCTAAACCCAAACCCTCAACCTTAAACCCTAAACCCCCAACCCTAAACCCTAAACCACCTAAACCCTAAACCCTAAACCCCGATCTTCCAATAGGTTTCGGAGCACATCCCTTCATCGCATGTCGCTGATCTGCGGCAGAGGGACATGGTGACCGATGAAGCTTGCCAGCTTTCTGTGTGGGGCTAACTTGGGCTTTTTGCTTTTATCTCCCTAAACCTTCAACTCGAAACCTTGATCCCAAAGGTTTAGGGTTCAGGGTTTAGGGTTTAGGGTCTAGGGTTTAGGGTTTCCAAAGCCCTAAACCCCAAACAGATGGTTGAGGCGCACCCGAACCTTTCAACCCTAAACATAGTCCTTTAAAGGAACCTTGGGCGCTTTTTTTTCTGCCAAGAACCGGCAAGGAAGACCTGTCGCGCCTCGTGCGGGGCATCTTCCAGTTCTACGCAGACGCTTCGTGGGCAAAGCCCGTAGCTTCTTGTTTAGGGTTTAGGGTTTAGGGTTTAGGGTTTAGGGTTTAGGGTTTAGGGTTTAGGGATTAGGGTTTAGGGTTTAGGGTTTGGGTTTAGGGTTTAGGGTTTAGGGTTTGGGTTGGGATGTTCCCCCGTAAAACTAGCAGTCCTTAATGAATGGGGATGATCATGGGGGGTTACTATAATCCCTATGAAGGACTGTTAGTAGAAGGGCGAACATCCCAACCGGTAGATATCGACGCCAGGTTGTAAGGTTTAGGGCTTTCGTTAGTGGCCAAACAGTAGCTGCTGTACCGCCAATGTGGTCCCCTGCAGTTTCTATTCCCTTTCTAAATAGATAGGCTGGGTTACGGTGGATGTTAGCGTCGGCAGCTCAGCGACATGCTCCTGCGCATATCCGAGGACGTCTTCGACTGGGACTCTGAGCAGGTGCGTGTAGCCATGGGTTTAGTTCACGTAAACCAAATGTGGCCCCTAAGCCACACCCCGTAAACTCCTACAACGCGTAGTAGGTTTTTAGGGTTTAGAGACCTAAGGGCCAACTTTGAATCCCAGAAGTTTACACTTATTCGACCAGTTCTCAAAATCGCAGTTTTCTTCGAGCGGCCGTGTGAGGACACGGCCCAAAGAAGGAGCATACCCTTAATCCACTAAGCCCTTTGAATCCCAAATCCCCTGAACCCTCAACCCCAAAGCACTTACTATGAGGGGTCGGAACACTTACTACTAGTATCCCCTCATGGTCCCTACATAATTACAATACTCCCCAAAGCCCTTTTCGAATTATTCAGGCCCCGATATTCAATCCCCCAAGTCCCGTGAACACCCTCAAGCCCCAAAATCCCTTCAAAACCAAGTCCTTGAACTCCCTAGACCTCAAACCCTAAACTTTCCCTAGCCCTTAAAACCGATGACCCCTAAGCCCAAGGCCCTACCCCGACAGACCCCAAAGCTTCAAAGCCCCTGAAATCCCCGTGAGAAAGTGGCGCTGCTCCTTCTTGACGTAGGCTCGATGGAGACAGAAATATCTTTTTTTCTTGACATAGGCGCGGTAGACGCGGACATGTCCGTAACGAAATGGCGTTTGTTCTTCTTGACACGGGCTCGATGGACACAGAAGTGTCCGTAACAAAATGGCGTTGTATCTTGACTCTCGACGTAGGCTCGATGGACACAGAAATGTCCGTAACAAAGTGGCGGTTTTGCAAAACATGCCCCTAACAAAATGGCGGTTTGTCTTCTCAAACATAGCCTCGATGGACACAGAAATGTCCGTAACAGAATGGCGTTTTTCTTGATATGCTCGACGAAAGTGGCGGTTTTGCAAAGCATGCCCGGAACAAAAATGGCGGATTTTTTCCGTGATAGGTTCGATGGACGCAGAGATCTCGGTCATAAAGTGTCGCTTTTGCAAAGCATGCCCGTAACAAAGTGGGACTGATTCTTCTTGACACAGTCTCGATGGACCCAGAAATGTCCGAAACAAAAGGGCTTTTTATCTTGACATAGGCTCGATGGACACGGAAATGTGCGCAGAAAAGGCGCTTTTTCTTCTTGACATGGGCTCAATGGACACAGACATGTCCCCAACAAAGTGGCGCTTTCTGCGTGACGTAGGCTCGATGGACACAGAAATGTCCGTAACAAATTGCGGTTTTGCAACACACGCCCGTAACAAGATGGCGTTGTTTTTCATTCTTGACATAGGCGCTATGGACACAGAAATGTCCATTACAAAATGGCGCTTTTGCTTTTCGACATGGGCTCGGTGCACACAGAAATGTTCACAACGAAGTGGCGCGTTGTGCAAAACGGGCCCCGTAGCAAAGTGGCGCTGTTCGTTGGATGGACACAGAAATCTTCGTAACCAAAAGGGGTTTCTTGTTTAGGGTTTATAATAGGGTTTAGGGTTTAGGGTTTAGGGTTTTTCTATAGGCTCGATGGATACAGAAGTGTCCCTAACACAAAGCGTTTTTTTCTTCTTGACGTAGTCCGGATGGACACAGAAGTGTCCGTAACAAAATAGTTTTTTTTGACATAGGCTCGACGGACACAGAAATCTCCCTAGCAACGTGGCGTTTTTTTCTTCTTGATGTAGGCTCGATGGACGCAGAAATGTCCGTAACAAAAAGGCGCATTTTCATTTTGGCATATGCTCGAGTGACACAGAAATGTCCGTAACGAAAGGGCGGTTTTTTGTTTTTGATATATAGTTTGCAATCTCGACGGACACAGAAACGTCCGAAACAAAGTGGCGGTTTTGCAAAACATGCCAGTAACACAGTGGCGCTGTTTCTTCTTGACGTAGGCTGATGGACCCAGAAATGTCCGTAAAAACATCGCGACTTTCCTTCTCGGACATAGGCTCGATGGATACAAAAGATGTCCACAACAAAACGGCGATTTTGCTTCTCTCACAGGCTCGATGAACACAGACATGTCCGTAAGAAAATGGCGTTTTCTCTTGACATACACTCGACGAAAGTGGGTTTGCAAACCTTGCCCGAAACAAAATGTCGGCGTTTTTCCGTGATGGGCTCGATGAATGCAGAAATGTCCGTAACAAAATGGCGCTCATTGTTGCTCGACAGGCTCGATGGACACGGAAATGTAAACTTCCCTTTTGCTTCTCGACTGATGGACAAAGGAATGTCCGAACATAGTGGTTTACATTTTTTAACGTTACTGGGTGGGCGGGAGCCGGTTTAGGGGGTTGTCGCTCTACTTAAACTAGCTTGGAGTTCGGGGCATTTTTTGATTTTCCTTATTTGGGCTCATGAGGGACCCTATATATATGTATATATATATATGTATATATATATGTATATATATATATGTGTATATATATATATGTATATATATATATATAGATAAATATTTTCCAGGGTGTTTTAAAGGCCAACCCAGTGAAGCCGGAGGGCCCCCACCCTTGATAAGCTGAACTTCCAGGTGTCGCCACGCCGAGGGCGGCGGCAGCTGCGCCCGTTGCGGACGGCCGACGGCGTGCTGAGCATCGAAGACCCAGCAACCTGGTAGCACACTAAATGTCCCTAGACCCAATACCCAAAACCTAAACCGAGTTTTTTTTTTCGGAGGGGGGGGAGGCTCGAGAGAGGCTGCTAGACAAGGTTTCGGGTTGAGAGTACAGAGTTCGATTTTGCTTTCAGGTTTGTAGGGTTAAAAGTTTCGCTCTATCACCTTTTTCAAAGGTTTGGGGCTGTTACTTGAAGGTTCATGGTACTTACTAACCCATTATAGCTGTACTTATAACCCTACTTATAATACCCCTAAAGGGCCTTATAGGGGTTATCCCAATTATAAGTAGGGTTATAAGCCCAGTTATACTTGGTTA